GGTGCTGAATCCCCTGGAACCAGAGTTACAATTGTAAGCTGCCATTTGGGTGCTGGGAATTGAACCCAGATCCTCTGGAAGAGCAGCCAGTGCTCTTAACCTCTGAGCCACCTCCCCAGCCCCCACAAAAATATTTTAGTATCTCCAGCACTTGGGAGGCAAAGGCAGGCAGATATCTGTGAGTGTAGGGCCCAGGTCTACCCTTGTTCCTGGGGTTCATCTTGAGGACAGTTTCTGGTCAGCTAACTAAAACATTGTTTGTTCCTGTGCTCCCTCTGCCCCGCCTGGTGATTAGCTGTAGGGCATTGTTGACTCCATCTTTGGTGTGGTTATTTCCCACCTGCCTGGGCAGAAATCCTTGTGCAGTAGCTAGGTATATAAGGATTTCCCCAAGGTTGAATAAATGGCATTTGGCTGATCTTTTGAATGACCCAGGTCTCTTGTGTGCTCTTTCAATCTCCAGGCCCTTGCCCAACTCGTGTATGGTACAGTGGCGCTCGAACTATACCGAGAGGGTAACACAGAATCGGGTGTTACATGTGAGTTTGAGACCAGCCTGGTCTACAAGAGCTAGTTCCAGGACAGGCTCCAAAGCTACAAGAAATCATCTCTCAAAAACAAAAACAAATCAGTATCTCAAAAGAATATCCAAATGATCTACCACCCTAGGGGGAAGTTATAGATCTACTTTTCAGTGAGACTTATTTCAGTAAGCATTTGCAAGTTGCTGTTAAAGCTCCTTGTTGATAGTTTATTTGGGTTGAGACAAGAGTTCTCTACATAGCCCTGACTGTTCTGGAACTCAGCTCTGTAGACCAGGCTGGCCTTGCACTCAGATCTGCCTGTTTCCCAAGGGCTGGAACTAAAGGTGTATGTCACCATATCTGACTGGTAGGTTCTTTTTAACATATACATACATTGATTTATTCATTTATTGGTGGTAAGTAGGCAAGTGTTCTCCCACTGAGCTCTATATAAAGTCCTTTGTAAATTTTTGAGTTTTTCACTAAATTGACCAGGCTGGCTTTGAACTTAAGTCTGTATCCTAGACAGACCTTGAATGTGATACTCCTGCCTCAGTCTCCTACCTTACACACATTCACCACCAGTCCTGACCTAAATGTACTTATTTTCTTAGCCTTGAACTTGTGATCCTCTTGCCTCAAATTCCCGAATCGCTTGATACAGGCACACGTCCTACCCATCCCCAGTGCTTCTTTGTTGCTATTTTGTTTTTTTCTGGCAATACTGGGAATTTAATATTGAATTCAGAGAGTTTTTCTGTGTTTTAGGTGTTTTTTGTTTGTTTGGTTTTGGTTTTTGAGACATGGTTTCTCTGTGTAGCCCTGGCTGTCTTAGAACTCGCTCTGTAGCCGGGCGGTGGTGGCACATGCCTTTAATCCCAGCACTCAGGAGGCAGAGGCAGGTGGATCTCTGTGAGTTCGAGACCAGCCTGGTCTACAGAGCTAGTTCCAGGACAGTCTCTAAATCCATAGATAAACCCTGTCTTAAAAAAAAAAAAAAAAAAAATAAAAAAAAAATAAACAAAAAAAAAAAAACCCTCGCTTTGTAGGCCAGGCTGGCCACTAACTCAGAGATCCACCTGTCTCTGTCTCCCACGTACTGAATTTAAAGGCGTGAGCCACCCTTCTGAATTCAGAGTTTTATATATATGTTACTACCACTAGTCCATAGGCAACTTCATTACCTTAATCCAGTTCTAGAATCTGAGGAAGGTGGAATTGGGGCTGAGGGGCTGTAAATCTCAAGCAGTAATGGGCAAGCATTTTCTTTTTTTTTTTTTTTTTTAAATATTTATTTATTTATTTATTATGTATACAATATTCTATCTGTGTGTATGTCTGCAGACCAGAAGAGGGCACCAGACCTCATTACAGATGGTTGTGAGCCACCATGTGGTTGCCGGGAATTGAACTCAGAACCTTTGGAAGAGCAGGCAATGCTCTTAACCACTGAGCCATCTCTCCAGCCCTGGGCAAGCATTTTCTATAAAGGACTAGATAGTGCCATTTTAGGTTCTGAAAGACATGTAGCTGTTACACGATTCTGCTAATTTTGTACAAAAGGCACGTATCCTACCCATGTAGACAACAAAAAGGACTGGTAAAGACAGCAGTCTGTTGTTTGTAGCTGCATATTGGAAACATCAGAGGAGCCCATAAAATCACAAGTCTCCAAGCTTTTGTTTTTTTTTACTATGAAGTCTAGGTTGGCCTTAAATCTATAATCCTCCTGCTTCCTCCTCCAAAGTGCTGGGATTATACACGTTCTATCACACATAGCTAAAAAGTTCCTTTAAAAAAAAATATTTATGGGCTGGAGAGATGGCTCAGAGGTTAAGAGAGAGCACCGACTGTCCTTTCAGAGGTTCTGAGTTCAATTCCCAGCAACCACATGGTGGCTCACAACCATCCTTAATGAGAGCTGGTTCCCCATTCTGGCCTGTAAACATACATGCAGACAGAACATTGTACATGAAATAAATGTTTAAAAAAATATTTATGTGTACAACTATCTTGCTTGCATGTGTATGTATCTGTCTTTTTGAAAACCTGGTGCCCAAGGAGGTCAGAGGAGGGCATCAGATCCCTGGAACTAGGTCTCTTTCTACAGACCCTTGGTTGAGCTGGAACTCACTGTGTAAACCAGGTTGGCCTCTCAAAGATCTGCTCACCTTTGATGTAGGAGGGTCATCTGTCTATGTGTTACTTTCATTGGTTAATAAAGAAACCACTTGGCCTGATAGGTCAGAACAAAGTGGGTGGAGTAGACAGAACAGAATGCTGGGAAGAAGGGAAATGAGGCAGTCGCCATGATTCTCTGATCCGAGACAGACGCAGTTTAGAATCTTCCTAGTAAGCCAACACCTCATGGTGCTACACATATTAATAGATATGGGTTAATCAAGATGTGAAAGTTAGCCAGTAAGAGGCTAGAGCTAATGGGCCAACCAGTGTTTAAATGAATACAGTTTGTGTGTTGTTATTTCGGGGCATAAGCTAGCCAGGCAGCTGGGAGCTGGGCAGCAGAAACGCAGCCCGCTGTTCCCACTACACGCCTTTGCCTCCTGAGTGCTGAGATTAAAGGAGTGTGCCATCATGCCTGGGCCAGAACAAGCTCTTCAGTCTTACTTGTTACCAGACTGGCCAGGAACTGAACTAGATTCAGCCTCCCAAGCAGCTGGGACTGAACACACCTAGCTTCAAAACTCTAAAGCTATTAGGTGATTACTTGATATGCATTCTGGGCTGGACACTGCTACGCTTGGTCCACTTCAGCTGTTTAACAAACTGCTTGGATTGAGTAGCAGAAAACAGATGAATGAACAGACAAGGATCCTGCGATAAACTCTCAGAACTAGATTAACATTGGAACCATTTTTGTCCACCTACCAAATTAAATGCTTGTAATACTTGATTAAATGTTCTTTATTTGAGTTTTTCATGTGCAAAACACCATAAGGGCTTGTGCAACCCAGCAAGGTCGTCATGAGAAGGGTCACGACCCCTAAGCCTTCTTCTACCTAGCCCGCTTTCTCCAGCCATTCCTTATAGGCCCCAGCATAGTGTCGAGCCCTGTGAAGAAAAAGAATGTTGAGAGAGGAATAGGTCCTGCAGGCCGTCCCCAGTCAGCAAGTCTCACGGCTTGTCATACCCTGTGTATCCAAGACCTTGTGCCAGCTGTGTGGCCTGGGAGCCTCGCTTGCCCAGCTGACAGAAGAAAACGAGATTCTTGTCTTCAAGCTTTGGCTTCTCAGCACTGTACAAAGCTCGGAAAGCAGCTGGGTCCATGGTCAAGGCGCTTTCCAACTCAGACACTGAGAGAGGACAAAATGGAGAGCCAGTGGCACATTGGGGTTCACAATGTGGACCTCAAGAGTGGAGTCCTGGCTGGTCTGCAGAGATTGTCCACATATGGTGGCCAGCCCCCACTCCACCCCAACCTCAAAGACAAGGAAGAGCCTGCCATTGCAGGAAGTTAGGCCAACAATGCAGCCACTTTCTGGGTCCTCAAGAGGCGGTAGAGGATCAGGTGGATTAGGGAATCCAGCTTCAGGCAAGCCATGTATATAGGGGCTGATCTACCCCTCTGGCTGCCTGCTGCCCCCTCAAACTGGATAAGCTAGTTCCACTGCCAGGATTCTCCATTCAGTTTTTCTCTAGGGAACCCGAGGGCTGGATTGAGCAGATAGATATAAGGCCATCTCTATCTCTACCAGCATTATCCCTACCCTGAGTGAGGCCCCTTTAGCTAAGACCAACATGGACTGTCACTCTGCCAATACAAGAAATCCTATACCAGGGATGTTGAGTGCCCCGGGGATGGTACCAGCTTCTGCCTCCTCCCGAGATCGAACATCGAAGAGCCGGGCCCTGCCTGAGGCTAGGAGTGACTGTAGTTCAGATAACGAGACCGTAGGCACTGAGAAAGACGACAGGAAAGAATCAAGGGCTGGGGGACAAGACACCTGTGGTCTGTGCTCTCTCCCTGGGAGCTTCCCAACCCAGTGGAGCTGTGGTCACACCCCTACATTCTTCTCAGGGAACAGGATACACAGCCCCACTCCCACATCCCTGGTAACCCCATATCCTCGAGTACCTCCAGTCATGGTGCCAGCAGCAACTGTGTGACAGAGACGCAGGAATGCAACCCGCAGCATTTCCCCTCCCTCCCTGAGTCCAACCAGGGAGACAGGAAATAGAAGCAAAGCGCGGCACCTGGTTGGCACCCGCAGAGCCCCAGGAGCACCTGTTGGTGACAACTCTAACCAGTCCACACTTGAAACCTTTAAACTCTGCCCCAGTGTAGGCCGGAAATGACATCCAGGTTTGGCACAGGTACCCATGCTCTGGGTAATGAATATAGGAATACTAACACCCCACCCGAAGCGTGACTCAACCCTTACTGGTCAAAGGGTAACATGCACTCTCCCTTCCCCCAGAGCCCCACAAAAGAAGGAAAACAGACAACTGTGGCTCTAAACAACTTTATCTTAAAAAAAAAAAAAAAGAAAAGAAAAGAAAAGAAAAGAAATAAAAAGAACCACCCCCAGAAGGGGAAGGCTCTCGGTGAGCCCCTGCCTATCTTTCTCCCTGGCTTCAGAGACTTCTGAAGAGGCCCCAGCTGCACACTGGCCCCTTGACTACTCATGGGATAGCAGCCACCTAGCATCCTTCCCCCATCTCTGAATAAGCCTGCTCCCCAGAGTAACCAGGTGCATATCTTAGCTCCTGCTCCAGGGAAAGGAAGAACCAGTAGAAGTGCTAAACCCACAGAGTGTCCACGGACCCTCTGCTGGGCACTCTAAGCAAGCACAAGGCAAGCCCAGATTTCGTGTGTCCAGTGTCCATGGATACGGCACGTGCAGTGTGCAAAGGAGCACAGGGCCCGGGGACTACACAGCAGGAGCAGGCGAGGCTGTCAGGACAGGTCCACTTCGTGTTTCACACCACAGGCCTCAGTTCAGAGACACGCTTGCCATACTCCCCCCTACACGCCAGAAGTCGGCAGTGAAGGGAAGGGGCGTGGGATCAGCCTGTTGCTCCCGGGCTCTCTGCAATTCTAGGGCCCAAAGTCCCTGTATCTCCACAGTTAGTTGCTGTCATTCTTGATGACGACCTCTAATCCATGGTGCCGTAACTGAGCTCGTAGTAGCAGGTTCTTGTTTTTAAGATCTTCCACCTGCACAGAAAGGAGGCAGTAAGGGGAATGGATAGGAAAAACAAAACAAAACAAAAAACAAAACTGAGGGGCTGGAGAGATGGCTCAGTGGTTAAGAGCATTGCCTGCTCTTCCAAAGGTCCTGAGTTCAATTCCCAGCAACCACATGGTGGCTCACAACCATCTGTAATGAGGTCTGATGCCCTCTTCTGGCCTGCAGACATACACACAAAATATTGTATACATAATAAATAAATGTTTAAAATAAAGAAAAAGAAAAAAAGAAAACAAAACAAAACTGATACTGCTAAGCAGAAATTCAGTCACACACCCAGTGCTGAGGAGGGCAATGTGAAGTGTTTTCTAGGGAATCCCAACTGGGTCAGTGGCTACAGGGCTACCAAGGGGGCCTGCCCTGGCATTTGTCTGACCTGTTGCCGAAGCACATCATTGTCTAGCTGCAGCTGATCTAACCCCTGCAATTCTTCCGACAACCGGTGGTTGCTCTGCCGCAGCTCTTGGATATAATCACAGGCTTTGGATAGGATTCCACCTTTACTCTGCAAGGCAAAGTCAACAAAATGAGGACAAAGGCTTAACACACCCCGCTTTCTGTCCAAGAGCACACTCATACTTCCAGCCTATGTCCCTCAGAGTGGTGACAATCGTCTCAGAGAGCAAGAGGAAAAGTGGACTGCTGTGAACACTACTCGCCACCGTTTCTGAAAATAATGCCAGGAGACAGAACTCTAGCCTCCTCCCTGCTACCAGGGCCTTTCCATGACCTGGCCAGACTTGGTGCTCTCCATAGAGCAGTCTGGGATGATTTTGGACAGCTGCACAATCCAGTTGTTGATCTTGTCCCGGCGGCGGCGCTCCACTGTGGGGGCAAAGTGGAGGACATAGTGACTCGGTGAAAGATGAGCTGCCCTGCCTTCCTCACACATCCCTGCAGTTCCCAGATCTACTCAGGTGGCGCCCGGCTTCACACCTGGGTACTCCCTACCTTCATTATGCTGAGCCCTGCGTTTCTCATCCCGAGTTGTCCTGGGAGCCTCTGACTTCCTGACGGTAGAGACCAGGGTGACCAGACCAAGTTAAAGATAAACAAGCAAAAAAGACTGTTTAGGGTGAAGAATTACACAATCTTTAGCAGGCATTAAAATCACTCAAAACGACTGAGGCGAGATAAGGTCACTCACGGGGAATAAGGGTGGGTCCTGGGGGCAATTGAACGCTGGCTCCCTCCCTGCAGTACTTCTTGTGGCGACATCATCACAAAGAACTGACCTGTGACGGCATGAGTTAGGTTTTTGTCAGGACCTAGGGCCAGGAGCCTCACCAAGACCTTAGGACCCTTTTGAGAACATACTACCACCTGCTGGTAAAGCAGCTCAGACTCACTATATGCCCTGATTTTGCAGAGGGAGAGGTTCAGACATGCTTTGTCCGTGATGCCCTGGTTGTCCTGGAACTCATTTTGTAGACCAGGCTGACCTCAAACTCTCCAACAGCCCACCTCTGTCTCCTGAGTGCCCGGATTAAAGGTGTGTGCGATCACCACCCAGTGACCCTGATCTTAGAATCACTAAGTCAAGTGCTAGGGCCCAGAGGCCCCAGCCACATCCCATAGTAGCCCCTCTGGCTGCCATTCTCACCTGTACTGGGAGGGGTTGCCTGTCCCAGCAGTGCCTCTGAGCCCTGGGTGGTAACGACAGCAGTGGTGCTCCCAGACGTGGTACCCCCTGACCCATCTCCCACTGCAGTGCTGGGAAAGTAAGTATAGTGTGTTTCAGCAGCTGTTCCCTCTGTGTCAACTGCATCATCGCTGGTGAAAGCACCCTGGATCACTGCCTGAGAAGGGAAGTGAGAGCAGAGTCCAGTCAGTCAGGGACATATTTCCACGCTATCACCCTGAAGTTTCTATCCAGGTTCTTCCTTACCAGAAGGAAGGAAAAACACATGTGGCCAAAGATAGCTATGAATGCAACCCAACACAAAACTATCCTTACTTAAAATATGAATCGTTTAATTCAATTGTGTGAGTCTTTTAATACTTATTTTTATATGTAGGAGTATTTTACCTGCATGTATGTATGTATGTATGTATATATGTATACTATATGTACGCCTTTTGCCCGAGGAGGCAGGAGGATATTTGATACCCTGAAACCAGATGGCTGTGATCCACCATGCAGATATTAAGCACTGAACTCAGGTTCTCTTTAAAGCAAAAAGTGCTCAGAACTGCTGCTAACTGCTAAGCCATCTCTCCAGCCCCAACTGTGTTGTTCATGGGCATGATCTTTGTAGATGACAGGGACATGTCTCAATGACAATACTTAAATGACAAGTTTGACTATTATAAATGGCGATTTATAATTTTAATACAAGTCAAAATATACATATAACAAAATTGACCGTAAATTTGTATCAATAAACCAAAGTCCATACCAATGTAATGTATCATTTCTCTATTATATTCCCCCCTTTCTTAAAAGAGATTAACTATGACCATTAACCATTTATAATTAATCCCCCCTTTAAATGAAAACAAACATTTATAAACAATCATTTTGGGAATTTGTACTCAGAAGGTTGAATACATCTGAATCCAGTCCTTTGGGTCAAAGCCACCCAAGATGCATCCCACTGTTCTAACCCCACCCCTCCTTCCTATTGGCTCCGTAGCTTCTCAGTGCTAAGAGCTCTCAAGTCCTCTCACAGCTTATCCCCATACCTGGGTCATAGACTGAGTGGCAGGGTAGCCACTAATGGCACCAGTGCCTTCTGTCTGGCCATCCAGCTGCCCCTCAGACACCTGGATCACCCTGTACATCACCTAGAAGCAATGAAGAGGGGTGAGGAGGGGTGGGAAGAGAAGACAAGAGTAAGTATCCAGAATCCTACGCCCTCTCAAAAAGTGCCTCTTGGGCCGGGCAGTGGTGGCGCACGCCTTTAATCCCAGCACTCCAATCTCTGTGAGTTCGAGACCAGCCTGGTCTACAAGAGCTAGTCCCAGGGACAGGATCCAAAGCTACAGAGAAATCCTGTCTCGAAAAACCAAAAAAAAAAAAAAAAAAGTGCCACTTGGATTGAGTCCCAGGGACCTTTCAAAAGCAGATTCAGCTATTTGTCCCTTCTTTCCTCATTCTGAGGCTTTCGCATATCCAGTCCCACACCAACCTCTATCTTAGCCTCCTATTAACATTTCACCCCAATGGTACAGTTCCATCTTATTCTCCAAGTCACAGCTCCCCAAATGTGTCCAGGCACCTCCCTTGAGCCCAAGCCCAGGTAACATCTGCAGTCACCTGGCCCCCTCCCTTACCTGGCCCCCATTCTCAGTTCGGAAGACGTACTTGACGTTGGGATCGGGGAACGTGGCAGCTGACTGGATGCTGGCGATGGCTACACTAGTTGGGTCCTCTCCAGTAGCCACTGCTCCTAAATTAACAGAGGCAAAGAGAGACGTAGGAAAAGACAAGATCTCCTGAGTGACTGGGAGCATGGAGACCATGGGAGAGAGCTGAAGAGGAAGGGAAAGGAAGGGAGCAGAGAAAAATGTAGAGCTCAATAAAATCAATTAAAAAAAAAAAAAGAGGTAAAGAAAGATCTATGAGTTAACTGCCTTTCTCCCTGTTCTACTTGCATGGCATTTAAAAGACCTGTGGTACACGGAAGATGGGCCGGTCAGTTGAGGTGGGAGGGAGGCTACAATGGGTACTTGGTCTTGATTTTAGCATTCACCTTCCTGAATCTGCACCGTCCCCTCTTCGGTTTCAGCTGTTTTCTGCTGCCTATTTGTGGTGAAACAAAAACAAAGGGAAGATGTGAGAAGCTCACTGACTTAGTAACATGGCTCCCAAACTCACGAGCATCCACAACAGATGTTAGGTCAGGTTAGATAACGACAGTGTTTACTGCCAGGAAACAACAGATAATTGCTGCCAGTCACGGTGGCGCATGCCCTTAATCTCGGCACTCAGGAGGCAGAGGCAGGCAGATCTCTGTGATTTTTGAGGCCAACCTGGTCTACATAGTGAGTTCCAGGACAGTTAGGGCTATGTAGAGATATGTTCTGTCTCAAAAACAAAATGAAATAAAAAAAAAAAACCAACCAACTAGTGAACTAAGTGTTTGCTATGTACATAGAATTAGGCTATAATCACTTTTTTTTCTTTTTGGTTTTTCAAGAAAGGGTTTCTCTGTGTAGTCTTGGTTGTCCTAGAACTTGTTCTGTAGACAAGGCTGGCCCCACACTCAAAGATCAGCCTGCCTTTGTCTCTCCCAAGTGCTGAGATTAAAGGCATGCACCACTACCGCCCAATGGATGATACTAATAACAACATATGAAATCAATAATAATCCCTACTTTACAGTTAGAAACTAAATCACAGAGCGGGTGAGTAATAGAGCTGGGGGACCCAAATCCAGTTCTGCCTGAATCTAAACTCTTAGCCACTTGCATTCCCCATGGTCATCCTTCTCTCCTCCCAGAGACCACTTGTCCACTTACCCCTTCATCTCTCCGTGAGGGAGCTCATCCGAGGATCTGGTCTCCTTTTGGAAATCTTCGTTTCTCCTGACTGAAAGGTCTGAGAGCTAAATCCTGGTGGAAATTATAGTTAACAGTGAGGCCAGGCAACTGAACAACTTTCCAAGTTCTGGAACCTAGGCTCCAAGAAGACACAGCCAGGAAAATAAACTAATTATCTGCAAAGGACAGTCAGTTTCCCCAATTCTGATGGCAAGGGCTGGCCTGCAGTGATTGAAAAGCACTTCTCATGAGACACGGTGCTCACTCCGAGAATCCTAACACTCAAGGAAATGAGATAGGAAGACTGGTGCAAGTTTGCGGCTAGCTTTGGCTACAGATTGAGACGTTGGAGAGAAAAAGAACCAGGTGTGCTTGCCCATGCCTGTAATCCCAATACTTAGGAGGTTAAGGCAAAAGAATTAGGAATTTAAGGCAATCCTGGGTTTGCAAAGCAAGTCTTAGGCCAGGTTGGGCTACAAGAACTTGTCTCAAAAACAAAAACAAACAAAAAGCCATAAACTGGGAGATGGCTCAGGGACAAAAGCACTTGGAATGGAAACCTAAACCTACACAAGAAAGGGGCGCAGCGGTGAGAGCAGGGACGCCGTCGTGAGCACCTGTAAGTCACAGCATGCCTCGATGGACAGACGAGCAGGAGAGGTAAGGGAATCCCTGGAAGCCGGGGGCAAATGCAGCAGTGAAGAGACTCTGTCTCCAACAAGGTAGCAAGGCAAGGACCGACACCCTAAAGTTGTCCTCTGAACCAAAGAGAAAAATCAGGCTGTTAAGACGGCTTAGCAAGCTGGGCAGTAGACGTCCACATCTTTAATCCCAGCACTGGGTGATGTGGGAGTGTCATATCAATCTGTTGATTTCATTGGCTGAGCAATAAAGAAACTGCTGGCCCTGATAGGTTAAAAGATAGGTGGGCGGAATAAACAGAATAGAATTCTGGGCGGAAGAGGAAGTGAGGTCAGACTCTGCGCTGCTTCCAGAGGGACCGGACAGCCGCCATGCTCTGCTCTCCCAGGCAGCTGCAACCCACGATGGACTTAGGCTAGAATCTTCCCGGTAAGCGCACCTTGGGGTGCTTACACACATCATTAGAAATGGGCTAGTGCAGGTGCGAGAATTAGCCTGTAAGGGTTAGAGTTCATGGGCCAAGCAGTTCTTAAATGAATATAGTTTGTGTGTTGTTATTTCGGGCATAAGCTAGCCAAGCGGCCGGGGTGTTGGGGACGCAGCCCCGCCGCTCTTATTTCAACAACTGGGGAGGTAAAATGAGGCAGGATTGCTTTGAGTTCGAGGCCAGCCTGGGCTACAGTGTGAGTTCCAGGACATCTATTGATGTGCAATATTACATTAACTAGGCAAAGATGTGTTACATTTGTTTATGCTGCATTTGTTTAATTATGTAAAGATGTGTTGCTGTTTCACTTTGCCTGCCTAAGGGACCTGACTGACCGGCCAATAGCTAGGCAGTAGAGGGATAGGCAGGGCTGGCAGGCAGATGATAGAATAAGGAGGAAGAGGAATCTAGGCTTGGAGAAGAGAGAATAAGGGAGAAAAAGAGGGACACACCAAGGGCCAGAAGCCAGGTACTGCCAACCAGCCAGACACAGAGGCAAAAGCAAAATAAGATACACAACATTAAGAAAAAAGCCCCAAGGCAAAACATAGATGAAGAGAAACAGGTTACTATAAGTTATAAGCGCTAACAAGAAACAAACATAAGCCCAACATCCACCTCATCTATGATCTGCTGGAGCACGTGAAGGAACCTAACCTGCAGACCCCAAACTGCAGGATCTCCACAACACAGAGCAACAGCAGGATAACCAAGAGAAGTTCCAGTAGGAGCCCAGCATCAAGAGCATAGCAGAAACCAGAGGCTGGGCACCAGACTAATGACTCTCTGCAATGAACACTTGCAAGTGAAGCGATGATATTTGGGAAAGGGGTTTACTGTGTGACGCACTCTGTTACACTGAAGCTTTCATGATGAGATTTTTAATTTTTTTCCCCTTTTCCTCTGAAATTTTGTTTTATTTGTGGAGGGGTGCGGGGCAGGGGGCAGATTCAAAGGGATAGGGAAATAAAGAGGATCAAGATACATGATGTAAAAAGACACACAGAGTAATTAAAAAGAAAGTAAAAACAAGCATAACATAAGGCCAAACATTCATAACTTATAATAAATTTCTGTGTCATGATTGGGGGCTGGTGGTCAAAGCCTACTACAATCTAGAGCTACAGAGAAAGCTTATCTTGAAAAACCAAGAAAGATAAGACTAAGTCCCGAAAGCTCTGCTCTGACCTCCACAGGTGCACAGACCACATGCATGTATGTACACACATACCAGAACTTTTTTTTTCTTTGGTTTTTCGAGACAGGGTTTTTCTGTAGCTTTGGTGCCTGTCCCGGAACTAGCTCTTGTAGACCAGGCTGGCCTCGAACTCCCAGAGATCCGCCTGCCTCTGCCTCCCGAGTGCTGGGATTAAAGGCGTGCGCCACCACCGCCCAGGCCCAGCGTACCGGAACTTTTTAAAAAGCAACTTTTAAAATAATATTCTTTGCTCTTTTCTTTTGTTTTTGGTTAAAACTGGGCTTCTCTATGTAGCTCTGGATGTCCTGGAACTCACTCTGTAGACCAAGCTGACCTCCAACATAGAAATCCTGCCTATCTCTGCCTCCCTGAGTGCTGGGATTAAACACATGCACCACCACCGCCTGGCCGTTCCTCCTTAGTCATTCAAACTCTGAGAGGAAGGAAATAATTATACTGGAAGGCTGAGAAATAATGTGTTTCAAGGTGCATTATTGAAGCAATTATGGATTATTACTAAAGCTATTATAGTCTGCTACGACAGCAGTTTCATAGGAATAGCAGGGCCATATTAGACCACCACGATCAAATAACACTCACCCTGTTCCCTGATGCTGGGTGTTGATGGCACACGCCTTTAATTACAGCACTCGGGAGGCAGAGGCAGACAGATCTCTGAGTTAAAGACCAGCCTGGTTTACGGAGTAAGTTCCAGGACTACACCGAAAAACCCTGAAAAACTAAAGAAATTCTAGTCCACACCACACGTTTTGGTGCACGCCTTTAGTCCCAGCACTCAGGAGGCAGAGGCAGGTGGATCTCTTTGAGTTCCAATACATTCTGATCTACATACTGAGTTCCAAGACAGCCAGGGCTCTATATAGTGAGAGCCTCCAAAATGTGAAGATCATCAAAAGTGAGATGTCTCAAAATAAAATAACAAGAAAAAAGAAATTTCAGTCCTCACGTTTAAAGGGAAAACCGGAACCCCTTTTTGCCACTGGAAAATCACCAGGAACCACAAAACCTAGATTTGGCTCTTGGGCACCATTCTACTGTCAGGGCTGTTGGTTTGGGGGAGTCCAGATTTACAGCATCTGTTACAAGCTCTAAAGCCCAAGTGCAACATATTCAAGGCTTCTTTATTTTATTCATCAAGACTTCCTGTAGAGAAACACAGTTGCTAAAATGTTGCCATGACAACTCCAAATCAACTAAGCCTGGGGGGTGGGAGGGAAGAATCCAGGCTCAGGGTTCTGAAGGAGAAAAGACAATGGGGGAGGAATCCATCTACGATGTTTCTGCCTTAGAACTCTTGACACCCGGCCAGAGAACCGGAAAAACAAAGAACTGAGCAGACAGATGCCTCCAGAAACAGCTGCACAGTACAACGCAATAAAAATAATCTCAGCAAGAAAGGGCAAGATTTTTGTAAACTCTCTACTAATAAGATCCTCCAAACCTTGCTAATCCAAAGAAAATCTTTAGCGGATAAATCACTTTAGAAAGCCCGCGTGCAAAGAAAATGGTAACAATAACAACAACAAAGAGGAACTGAAAGTGAAACTGCCCGTCCAAAGTAAGGCTCCAAAGGGAGGCAGCGCCAGTGTTTAGGGACCACTAGGTCTCCATCCTCAAACGCCAGGAGGAAGGGCACCTCCGACGCTAGTTGCACGGCTTGCAGGAGGCGGCAAGGGTTCTCCCAGGCACAGGAGGTAACTGTATAACCCACAACTGTCAGACAGTGCAACTTCTGAGGCCACCCAGCAACGGCGTTAGGCTACTTACTCAAACCTTGGTTGGACATCCGGAAGCGTTTCCTGAGCATTAAGAATAAGTGACACGGAAATCAGCATAGGGTGTTGTGGTTTGCACGCTCAAAAGGCGGGCCCAGCAAACGCCCTCGCCAAGTGTGGACGCAAAGGCAAAACAAACAAACAAACAAAGATAAAGTTCGGAAAGAATTCAGGCGCCAGAACCTGGCCGGAGAACGAGGCGTCACCCTGCAGGCCCACCAACTAACTAGTAGGAGGCGCTTGGGGAGCCGAGCACCCGCCAGGCGCGAGCCCCGAAGCCCGCGCGCTGACCCCGCCGGCCCAGTCTTGCTCGCCCCGCGCCCCGGTTGCTCCGCAGAGGAGACGGGAAAGGACGCCGGGGACCGCTCCAGGCCTGCGGCTGGCAGCTGCGGCCCGCGGCGGGACACCGCGGGAGGGTGGGACGTGTGCACTCCGGCGCGGGGAGCGAGCTCGGCCCACAAAGCAGGGCAGGAGATAAAGAGCTGGCCACGGCCCCCTCCCCCAAAACAAAGGCTCCGTGGCCCAGGCGTTGCCTGGCCTGACACAATGAAGCAACACCAAAGCTGCCCCGCCTGGCCGCTCCACCTCGTCTCCAGACGCCGGCTGGCTCCTAGGCACTCACCGACCCAGGCCGCCTTAGTCGCCAATTTCCCCCGGCAGCGTTCTCCCTCTTTGGATCTAGGTCTCTCCATAGACAGCTGCTCATGCGCAATCGCAGCCTGCGGCCATATTGGTGAGGGGCGGAAGTGTCTCTTCGACCCGCCCAGCCGACCGCTGGGTTCCCCCGACCGCCCGGTTTCCGTTCGCTTCGAACTTCGAGGCGCTCTAAAGCCGGCGTGGGGATGCGAGTTTTTTACGGGTCCCGAAGAGAAGCAGTATGCTTGGGGACGTCGCTAGAGTTCCAGCTTTTTTAGCAAGAACCAGAAAAAAGTCTAAACTGTACTTCCATCTTGGTGCTAGGCGGAGCCTTTTTAGTTCCGCTAAAAGGAAGTAGGGGGAGAAACGGCGTTCTTCGGCGCCATCTTTAACAAGGGCAATTTGGGGCGCCATCTTGGATCAGGGCATCATTTTGAGGGGGTTTCCAAGTGGACATTGGGACATTTCTGGGCATACGTAGATCTGGGTATATTCCTTTGTACTAGCGTCAGCAACCCCCCAAAGACTTAATAGCTTCCAGTTTTTCTGAGGATCATGTGTGACAATTTTGATTACCATTTTTTCTCATTCAGGGTGATACCCATGATGGTTTTTGAATAGTGACGTATAATAGCTAGAATTCAGATTCTGAAACCATTCCAGACCCCGATCTTAAATCCTCAACTGATGCTTTTTTTTTTTTTTTTTTGAGACAGGATCACTATGTCGTTCTCAACTGTTTTATGTAGACCAGGCTGTCTCTGAAGTCACATAGATTCCCCAGCCCCTGCCTCCTGAGTGCCTAAGTTTAAAGGCATGTGCCATTGGAAACTGCTGCTTCTTTACTCTGAGATCTTTGATAAACATGCATTTTTAGTTAATTACAGCTTAATTTTCTCATTTGTAAGATGGAAGTACTAATATCGACTTTACCAAATTAAGTAGATTGAATAAATTCAAGAGCAAAGTTTTTATGCACATAAATCTAGCCCAATTCCTGGCATTAGATGAACATTATGTAAATACAGGTTTCTCTTCCTCATTTCTTGACCACCACGAACTTAGTTCTACTTTCTAGCTCCAGGTTCCCATGACAACCGAGAAAGAATATCTAAACAAGATATATACATTTTGGCAACATTCAAATGTGATACCTTTCCCCCCAAGACTTTAATAAGAGTAAGTCCATACACTATTGAAGTATAAAAAATTCAATTTTTATTATCAAACAGCCACCATGGCTAAATGAGGCCTCTAGCTCCCACCTGTGCAGAGAAACAGTGCCAGGGCCAGAGTGATGATCAGACATCCCGTTCCTGAAATAGGAGGTTATTCTAATGGGAAAAAGAAAGACCAGAGAGATCTGTACAGGACTTCCTCTGCAAATAATTGAAGGCAGAAGATGCCATCCATTTCCTTCAGTGAACACTGAGGACTTTAAAGAGCTTCTTGGATGTGTTTCCCCTAATCTGGAGCTAAAAGGGTCAGGAGATAGTTAAGGATCTGGGAACAAAACAGGAGTGAGCAATTCTGTATCTGGCCCTATATTTTCCACATCTGCCTTAGGCTTCTATGAAGAGATGTTCACAGCCTCAGAAGAGGGCAGGAGTTTGACTGGAATCCTCACCCCCCCCCATGTATTTAAATTTAAGAAAAATAATAAGTTTCTACCTACCCTATGTTTTGGTTAATAATTACAACTTCATGGGAATAAGATCTTCCTATATTTCTTAAGACTCTGCTAAGAGATAAGTGCTTTGTGTCTAACACAAACTCAAGTAAACCCATCAAGGCAATGCCTCTCGTGGTCAAAACAAGTAGCTGGAGGACCCAAGCCTATGGAATTGGACACTTCAGCTGCCAAGGGTGCAACGACAGCTGGGTGAGGGTTCCAGAGATTGACGATAAATTTCTGATTCCTCTTGTCCCATCCTAATCACAGCCCTTCTTTCCCACGGTTAGTCTGTGTTTCAAAGGCATATGTCTGACGCTGAGGGGACATAAGAGGGACAGGGGGGTGAAGCTCTCTAGGAGGCAGACTAAGCCGACTCCTGGGCTCAGACCCTTCTGTGCCCTCAGGTGGGAGTTCCAGACAGCTAAGGGGCCGGGAAGAATGGGCAGGAATCATGCTACAGGGAGAGGTTCTGGAGTTGAGGCTATAATCCCCACCCCCAGTACAAGTCTGGGTCCGCCGAATTCCCTGCGCCTCAGTTCTCTGGCGCTCCCGGGCCAGGGCCACAGCAGCATCAAAGGAAAGACTACCCCCGTTCCTCCAAGAAGCACGAGACCCCCAAGCTCTTTCTCCAGGAGTCCCATCAAGCCTACCAGGTCTTGGACATGGGTTTGCAGGTGCTACATGGATCTTACTACACATTGCACTGGGCATCTTGGCAAACTGTGGTTTGGGGGGTACTACAGGAACAGAGCGGACCTGTTGGACCTGAACTAGGGTAGACGCCAGACGCATGCCCACACCACCAGTTGAACCACAGGGACAAGAGTTCAAGTCACATGCCTCAGAACTGAGCTGTCCCTCAGCCTCCATCCCCTCTGGTTCAGATGGCTGTGGAGGGCCTTGTTCCATCTCAGAAGACTGTTCATTGACTTCTTCTGTACCGTCAACCTCCAGGAACTCCACACCTGGCTCTTCAGAGAGGGCCCCCTCTTCTAAGTGGTCACCAACAGCTCTCTTGCCTTCAGTTTCTATATCTATACCTTTTTCTTCCTTGCTGACCTCCCCTTCCTCCCCATTATCATTATCTTCTACTGGACTTCTACCATCTGCACTATGTCCTTGGTCTTCTCTTGACTGGTGGTCAGTATTCCCACTCAGTCCTTTGATCTCATCCTTGTTGCCTTTCTCAGTCTCTTGGTTGTGTACCGCTTCCCAGCTCTCTCCAGGAAGCAGGTATTCCTGGACGGGATGCTCTGGATCCATTCCAGTTTCTACGGGGGTGTCCTCTCCTTTCTCAGCTCCTTCTTTTCTCCCACTCTCTCTTTCCTGCTTGTCTTTATCCTCTTCTCTTGTTTTCTCTGTATCTTTGGTCTCTATACTTTCAACCTCTTGACCTTTGGAATTTCCTTCCACGGTCTCTATCTCTTCACTATTCCCCTTTTCAAAACTACCCATCACCTTTTGGCTTCTTTCCTCTTCCCCTCCTTCTTCATCAGCTTCCCCAACTTCCATCTCAGCCTCTGGAGTTGCCTCAGCATCTTCCCTGTTAGCTGATGTGCTTCCAGGCCCAGCTTCCTTGTCCTCTTCAGCTTCCCGGCACGCCTCTTTCTCTTCAGCCTGTGTTGGAGGTTGTTTCCCACATCTTGCTGCCTCTTCCTCCAGTCTCGCTACACCCTCCCAGTTCGTGGATCTAGGGCTCAGAAGGGGGCTCAAATCATCATAGGCACTCAGGAAGACTTCTTCCCCATTTTCTTCTTCCACATCAGGTGTGGGACCAGCAGAATCGAGGGAGCAGCAGCTAGGAGCCAGGACATACTGTGCATCGTCCAGAGACAGATCATCCAGGGGTGGCTCTACAGAGAACTCTTCCACCTGTAGGCAAAGCATTGTGTCTAAGGACCAGGTAGCCTATCCACTCTCTAGGCTACACACTACCCAAATACCCAGCACAGCTCCTCCTTACCTGAGGCCCAACTCCCAGGAGCTCCTCCAGGTAGCCCATCCCAGGGTCATCCTCCCCAAGGGAGAAAGGTGCTGCTCCTGCTGCTCCTGCTGCTCCTGCGGCTTCTGCCTTGGCCACCTCCCTATCCTCCACCCCCACCCACTCAGGCTCTGAGCTGCTCAAGTCCTCTAGGAAGGAGAAGGAATCCTGCACCTCCTGGGACAAGGAGTCCTCCAGGGCAGGAGTCATGTCTGCTGGGTTTGAGTCAGCCAGGGGACCTGGGGCTGATCTTGTCTCCGACTTCTCATCTGTTGGAAGAAAAGTAGTTTCAGAAATCCAAAAGTCAAGGTCAGCCCCAATGCTTTCAGGTATGGTTATTCCTCACATTGATACTCTAGGGGCCCAACACTCCTGGTATGTACTAGTCAACATGGCTCCTCCTCTCAGACCAGAATGACTCACTACTAATAGCTCTCTTTATTCTCACTCAAGTGCCAGCATTGTGGGTTGCCTGTGTATTTCTTTGTTTTTGAGGCAAGATGTCACTACATACCACTACTTGGCCTGGACTGATTAAATAAACCAGGTTGGCCTCAACTCACAGAGATCAAGATATCTATACCTTCTAAATGCTGGGATTAAAAAGACATGCACCACCAGCTCTAAATATTTATGTGTGTGTGTGTGTGTGTGTTTGTTTTGTTTTTTGAGACAGGGTTTCTCTGTAGCTTTGGAGCCTGTCCTGGAGCTAGCTCTTGTAGACCAGGCTGGCCTCGAACTCATAGAGATCCTCCTGCCTCTGCTTTCTGAGTGCTGGGATTAAAGGCATGCGCCACCACTGCCTGACTGTGTTTGATATTTTTATAATTAATCTTTATATTTTCCCTACAGAATAAAATGTTATGTATAGGGGGGCTGGATAGATGGCTTGGTTCATAGTGACTGTATGCAAATATGAGGACCTGTGTTTGTTTTTTTTAATTTATTATGTATAGTGTTTTGTCTGCATGTGTGCCTGCACATCTCATTACAGATGTTGTGAGCCACCATATGGTTGCTGGGAATTGAACTCAGGACCTCTGGAAGAGCAGTCAGTGCTCTTAACCTCTAAGCCATCTCTCCAGCCCCGAGGACCTGAGTTTGATCTCCAGAAAGTCGGTGTGCTCTTCTGATCCCAGTGCTAGGCAAGAGGGGCGATCAGTCCCTGGAGCTGACCACTTCTAGCCTGCTTGGGAAGTTCCAGGTCATTGAAATACTCTGTCACAGGAAAAAAAAAAAACTGTGGATATCTAAGAACAACACCTAAGGTGGTCCTCTGGTTCCTATATTCATGTACACACCTGCACAGGCAACTCCCCTACACACAAATACCCTCCAAAAATAAAGAAATATTATGGAGGATGTTGTACCACACCCTTTGTTTGACACAGGTCTCCTGTATCCCAGGCCCATCTCAAACTATGGAGCCAGGGATGACCTCAAACTTCCATTCTTCCATCTCCACCTCCGAAGTGCTGGATTACATAAGCCTCCCTACCAGGATTATGTGGTGCTGGGGATCAAATCCAGTGCTTTGTACATCAGGCAAGCACTGTACCAACAGAGCTACGTCCCCAACTCTTCATCCTCAATTGGCTTTAATGAAACTGAAGCTCAGAGCAGCTTGTCCAAGGCCATGCAGCTAATAAGTGGCACAGACAAAATCTGAGCTCCGTCCGCTTAACTGTCCTATTTACCTCGACCTTATACAACCTCAGGCTTTCTCATCAGTGACACTTTGGGCATAGGAATCTGAGAATGAATCACATCCTAGATCAGTAGTAGATTGTTGAAGATAACAACTTTCAGGTTCTACGGTTGTAAGAATAATGATACTTATATCTTCATGCTATGAGAAAATGAAATGAGCTAATACCTGTGAAGTGTCTAATACAGCCCTCAGCATGAATTGATAAGTGATAGTTAGCTCTTAATATTAATTTGCTGGAACTCTTAACAGCAACTTTTGTTCTTACCCTTACCTGTACCTTACTAAATCCCTTTTGCGTCTGGCACAGGCCCCTATTCTTGGGGGTAAATCAGTGATTTGAAGCCTGACAGAGATCCCTTCTCCATGCACTTCATATAACCTAATATCACTGGATCCCCAAACCCCAAATCTAGGCAGGCAACGTAAGACTGTGTTCAAAGCCTAAGGGCTGAAGCCTCTGACCTCTGACCTTCCAACGCTACGTCCTCGTCCTCAGCACCCACAGCTTCAACCTAAAGTTCTAGATTCCTTTCCAGGCCTGGGAAATCTCCAAGTTCTCACCTGGGGGGCCAGGGCCGGGGCCGGGGCCAGGACCTGAGGTGGGATTTGGCCTGGGCTGTAGGGCGGGACACTCAAGGCCACGGGTAAGCCTGACCAAGGAGACGTTAGAAATGATGTTTGGAGGTACACTGAGGATGGAGGTTATGTGTAGCGGGAGGTTGACGTTGTAAGGGTCTGAGATGTGGACACCGGCACAACGCTCCGCACGACTGCTCCCCGAGGCCCGAATAGCTGACCGCCCAGCTCGTGGAGTTCCTGGCTCAGAATTCGCACTGCCCTGTGCCTCGGCCTCAGGTTCCTGTTCACCCTCTGCTGCATCCATGGAATTATTCTCCAAGCTCTCAGACATCAGTGAGCTTGACTGAGGACTGCTGGGCCCCACCAGTCCCTCTGGCTCTGTGGAAGAGAGAGAGGGTCAGGTATTCAGCAGCCCCAGCTCCAAAGGGTCTTGACAGCTCAGGTCAGACTCACCGGCTCTGTTTTCTTAGGTTTTAGAGGTAGGATAATTGGAAGGTACCAGACCCAGGTTTCTTTTGACCTCTACTGCAAAGTATCCACCCAGTCAGCAGGTTAAAGGTCACATGTACCTGATGGATCTTCTTCTCCCTCTCTGTAGATACAGTCACTAGCTACCATTAACACACACACACACACACACACACACACACACACACACAGTCTCCATGTACAAATACTCATGAATATACCCAGAGGTTAGACAATAGGCTCATCTATTGTAAACTTGCCATGTGTATCCAAGACTGATATATAATTATTTGTGATTCTTTTAAAATTACTAGACACACTTGGCCACATTTATAGACACCCAAGCCTGTGCTGTAATTGTCACAACACATACACACATAGCCACTAACATCTGTCCTCACCATCAATGGCACCAGCTGCAGCACTCAGTGAGTCCATGCTCTTAGCGGGCCGCAGTGTCCCCTTGTTGGCTTTTTCTTCTGAAAAAGATGAATGTGCATAGCACCAAGACCTCGCATGCCCTCACCAGAGCCCCATTTCCTCATCATCCCAGACCTACCCCTGTCCTCAGCCCGCAGTGGAAGTTTACGTTTTGTTTCATTGCCAGAGCGACCCAAATTGAAGATAGATCGCCATTTCCTGACCTTCAAAGATCCCTTTCTCCTGCAGAGAATGGAGATACAGTTAGGAGTGGAGTCTGGGTGACTCGGTGCAAGGGAAGAGGTCCCGGGAAGCAGGCCTTACTTGTGTTCTGCAATCTCAATGATGGTATGGTAGGGCCGGATCTGTGGTGGTCCATCGCCAGCCTGTAAGATGCTAGGCAAGTGGTAGGGAGGAGGCCTGGGCATGAGGTCCTCAGAGCTGCCTGATGCCCGGGCCCCTGGCAGCCATCCGCTCTCCACATCTGCACCAGCTAGGAGAACGAAAAGAATTGGCCAGCCAGTAACAGAACCAAGAAAGGAACCTCAAGTCCCCAGTCCATCCCCCGCAACAAGCTACCAAGCTAAGGATATATTCAGAGGCTCTTGGAGATAGATCCTCTCTATCCATTTCAGAAGGGTATTCTCAAGAACGAAGAGGATCAGGAGATCCCAAGACATTAGCCTTGTCCTCCAAGGTGGTGCTGCAGAGACTAATCTATGTGCTAGAATGACAACAGAAGAGGCCTGCCCAAGCCCTAGCTGTACTAACACTTCTCCAGTGTCCTCTGCAGGTGCTCATCACGTACTGTCCTCTGTGAGAGACACAGTCTTCCTACCCACAAAATGAGGAGTCTGAATGAAGCGACTTGTGAGGCTCTCTAGAGCTGATCTTAGTCAAAACCATAAAGCAACTGAAAAGCTCTTCCCAGCAGAGAGTGGTGCTGGGTAACGGGCAGAAAGGACACTAACCAGGGAGGGAGGCACCCCCAAAGAGCTGCTCCACATGGGTGAGGATGAACTCCACGACAATGGACTGCACTCGCACCTCCATGAACGCTGCGGTCCCGTTGAAGCCGGAGGCCTCTATGTCCTTAGACCTGTAAAGATGTGGAATTAGTCCCTCCCAAGACTCAAAACACTTTCCTATCTAAAGTCTTCCTGAAACACACACACCATACACACAAATGACAGACAAGATCTCATTATGTAGCTGTGGCTGTAACTGACTTAGAACTGTCAGTGTACACCAGACTGGCCTTGAACTCACAAACATCCTCCTGCCTCCTTCTCCCAAGTGCTAGTGTCAGAGTCAGGTTACAAATGCCTAACCTCTGAAATGCTCTATACCTCGGCCCCTGGTCTTTACCCTCACAACTACCTCAAGCCACAGGTATGATCCAAGTTCAAATACCACTTCCCCCGAGAAAGCCATCTGCAATGTCCTGCCATACTCCTTGCACTGTACCGCAAAAGGAAGACCAAGAATTGTTATAATTGTTGTAATTAATAATGCTTTGTGCCATAATGAGTCAGAGACAGGCCAGTTCCTGAATAGACTGTAAGATGTTCTCTCAGTAAATGTTTGGCAAAGACCAATATTCTAGTCTCCAGCCTCCACAGCACAGCGCAAGTCTTGCTCTTAAGAAATTCACTTGGTATCAGTGAAGGCTCAAGTTGGTGGACTTTATACTATTTAGCCACTGCTCAATTTTTCTGTCTTGCTGGGTTTATGAGACCCCCAAACCCTCTCCAGTGCACCCTCACAACCACATCTACTTGAGTATATCTTGCTACACCAAGTCTCTGAGCAGCTCCACACTGCTCACACATGCACCCACCTCAGCAGGTTGGGGGCCCACACAATCGCCAGGTTTCGGGCATGCATGTTGGTTTGGGCACTAAATGAGGCCATGTGGACCAAGTGCCTCATAAGGAACTCCAGCGTCCTGCAGAAATCAAGAACAGAATCACCCAAAAGAACATCAGGGCAGGGGTGGGCTGACCTGAGAGCTGGGAGAGCCAGCAAGGCTGGGGCCATAGGGAGGGCCGGGGCGGGGGTATCTCTGGAGTACAGAGGGCAGAACCCCACACACCTGTAGTTTGGGGCAGGGAGTTCCTGGAGCACATCAAGGATCTTGATCAAGCGTTCTGGCTCTAGCTGCACTGCCACTGCCTCCTAATTGGGGACCAGGGTATAAGAGGGAGACATTGACTCACAGATGACCTGCTTGCTTCGCAGAGGTCCAAATTAAACTCTCAGGGATCATCTATTGCTATGTCCCACAATGGCCCCGCCTAGATCTTCAAGGCACCATAAAACAGTGGAAACACCTCAGGCTGAGCATGGTAGCACATGCCTCTGACCCCAGCACTCTAGAGGCAGAGGCAGGAGGCAGGAAACAAGGATCGGGATGTAACCCAGTGGTAGAGTGCTTTCCCGCCATGCACAAGAGCACTGGTTCAATCCCCAGAACCACAGAAAGCAAGCTTAGGACCTTTGGGGGCACAAATGACTACTGAATTTTTTTTTTGATTTTTTGAGACAGGGTTTCTCTGTAGCTTTGGAACCTGTTCTGGAACTCACTCTGTAGACCAGGCTGTCCTCGAACTCACCTGCCTCCCAAGTGCTGGGATTAAAGGCAGGAGCCACTACCACGTAGCTGATTGCTGAATCTTATTTATACATCGTCTTGTGACCTTAAGCAACTCACTGCCATTTCCCTTGCCTCAGTGTCCACCTTGGTACAGCTCTGGAGCTAGACCTTTGAAAGGTGTCTGGGAAGGTGATCCACCCAGGCTGGTGTGGATGGACTGAGCAGGCTGCAGTTGCTATGCTGAGTCTCAATGTTGTTGCACTCAATAAAATGCAAGCTCTTGGCAAGTAGATGGGACTTTGCTATGTTGCCCAATCTATGCTCAAACTCTAGGCTCCAGTAATCCTTCTGCCTCAACCTCCGAAGAACCTAGAACTTTACTTTAAAAGTATTACTCAAGCAGGGTGATAGTGGTGCACGCCTTTAATCCCAGCACTTGGGAGGATCTCTGTGAGTTCGAGGCCAGCCTGGTGTACAGAGCAAGTTCCAGGACCGGCTCCAAAGCTACACAGAGAGCCTGTGTAAAAAACCAAAAAAAGAAAAAGAAAAGGAAAAAAAAAAAGTATTACTCGAATCAGGACACCATTTTTGTCATGTGTTTTCTCCTCCAAAACTGTTTAAGATTTAAGATACAGTTATAGTAGTAACTGGAGGGACATTCCTGAAAATATTTTTTTTTGTTATGTAAACAGCATTTTTGTTCTCTTAAGGGTAGGGAAACTCTGGTCTAGGTGCTTTCCAAGGCCTCCCAGCTCTGACAGCCTGCCCTTTGCCTCCCGAGTCTTACCGCTGTGCTCTGTGAGGTCTGCAGGTCTTAGGGGAAACACGACAGGGAGGGAGTGAAGACAAGAGGGACAGAGGCTGGCAGAGGTGGCAGGGGGTTGACGAGGTCTGGGAAAGAGGGCTCTTCTCCTCAGTAATGCTTAACTGTCAGGCTCCCAGGACCGTGCCTGGCACGTGACACACCAGGGGTGTCAAAACTGAGGCAGTGGCCCTTGAACCCTGTCTCCCACCCCCCTGCCTCTCAACTCACGGCAAATTTGTCATAGAGCCGGTAAGTGAGGAGGGGATCTGGCAGCTCTCTGAAATAGGCCTTGCACAAGGAGGAGACGCAGTGAATGTCCTGGAGGTACACGTCCCGCCGAAGGTCCGGCTTCCGCTCGGCCTCGAACTCCTGCCTGAGGAGGGGCAGAGTGGTCAGGCGTGGTACAGGTCAGACCGGGCGGGGGGTGGAGGGATATGTAGGGAGAAGCAGGACTCATAGAGGTCAGCTGCAGGCAGGGTCATGGTCCACATGGGTGAGACTTGGAGGGAGAATGCTGGAATGTATGCATATTCACATGTATATACATTATATACGTTCACTGGCGTATTTACACATATTTTCTATGTATGTCAGGAAATATTAGGAATTGCATATGTGGATATGTAGACGTGAATGTAAAGATGAGTAGAGACAGGTAAGTGGATCTGCGCATGACTAACTAGGGATCTATGATTAGCAGAGAAGAGATATAGCGGACTCAGCAGATACAGGTGATGGACCTAAATGTGTCTCTCCTTTTTCCTTTTCTCTTTTTGAGAAAGGGTCCTGCTATATAGTTCTTGGGTGGTCTGGAACTCAATATATAGACCAAGTTGAGCTCTGACTCACAAAGATCCATCTGACTTTGCCTCTTAAATGCTGGCATTCAAAACATATGCCACTTTGCCTAGCCTGGGTGTTGTCTTCATGATCTTGATTTGATTAGCTGGCAGGTGCTCAGATATGGCACCCAAAGTGCCAACAACCAAAAGAAGATAGATAAATTGATGACACAAATTCTCCCGAGACAGGAAGATTTCCGTGAATTTGAGATTAGCCTATGCTATGTAATAAATTCTAAGTTACAGAGTAAGGGGGAAAAAAAGAGAGAGCAAGACAAAGGGGCTAGGGAAACACCTCAGTTGATAAAGTGCTTGCCCCATAAGCTTAAGTCTCTGAGTTCGGATCCCCAGCACTCATAGGAAAAGCCAGGCAAGGCAGCAGAGACCTGTAAGAACAGCACTGGGGAATCCCAGGAGCTTGCTGGCCATTCTGTCTAGCCAAATCTGAAAGCTTCAAGTTCAGTAAGATCCCTGACTCAAACAACAGCAACATTAATAATAACAAAAACGTGGAGAGGACTGGAAAGATGCTCAGTGGTTAAGAGCACTAGCTGCTCTTCCAAAGGACCAAGGTTCCGTTCCCAGCACTTATGGTGCCCCACAGTCGTTTGTAACTCTAGTTCTGGGCCTCATCTGGCCTCGCTGGGCACCAGGCACACACGTTGTACACAGGCATACAAGCAGGCAGAACACCCAAACACATAAAATAAAGATATTTTAATAAAAATAAATTCATTTGTAAAATTAGGCAATTGAGGAAAACAGGCAACATTGATCTCTGGCTTCCACACAAATGCACATAACCACATGAACATATACGTGCATATACCATCCACAATAGAAGAAAAGAAAAGGAACATTTATGTGTCAAAGGATACTATCAATAAAAAGAACCCTGGGTTCAAAATCCCCGCTACCACAAAGAAGAAGAGGAAGAGAACAACCTACAAACCACAGATGGGGAGGGGAAAATACTGTTCATCATACATCTGATTAAAACCTAGTACTCTGCCAGGCCGTGATGGTGCGTTTTAATCCCAGCACTTAGAAGGCAGAGGCAGGTGAATCTCTGTGCATTCAAAGCCCGCCTGATCTACAAAGTGAGTTCCAGGACAGCTAGGGATACGCAGTGTAACCCTGTCTCAAAAAAAAAAAAAAAAAAAAAACTAGCCGGGCGGTGGTGGCGCACGCCTTTAATCCCAGCACTTGGGAGGCAGAGGCAGGCGGATCTCTGTGAGTTAGAGACCAACCTGGTCTACAAGAGCTAGTTCCAGGACAGGCTCCAAAACCACAGAGAAACCCTGTCTCGAAAAAACAAAAACAAAACAAAACAAAACAAAAAACTTTGACATTCAGAACATATAATTTATTACAACTCAATGATTTAAAAAAATTAAGCAGAAGCATAAGATTTGAATAGGTGTTTCCCAAAAGGAAGACAGGGGGAGATGCACACATAAATCACAATGACATATCATACACACCCACTAGGAAGGCTACAATCAGAAAGACAGTAACAAATGTTGCCAGCACTGCGGAGAAACTGGAGCCTTCATATAGGGCAGACAGACATGAAAGTGATACACTGTTATATTAAACAGTTTGGCAGTTACTTTGAAAAGTTTAACATGAGTTGCCATATGGCCCAGCCATTCCACTCAGGTTTACATTAATAATAAGTGAAATACAGCCATGAAAACTTGCACATGTTTGTAGTAGAATTATTCATAATAACCCAAGGTGGAAACAACCTGGAGAGCCATCAACTGATAAAAGAGTAGAAAAAAATGTGTAGCCATGCTGGAGAATTGTATTCATCTACAGAAAGCAATAAAATACTAGTACATGCCGCAGCATGTGTGAACCTTGAAAGGACTCAGAGTGAAGAGACAATGAAAACATGCATTGTATTGTTACTGTTTATGAGATGTCCAGAAGAGACAGACCCATACAGATAGAAAGCCAAGTTAGGTGAAGGGGAAATGTAGAGAGGATGGTGACATGTTGAATAAGCCATGGTGAATTAATGGTAATGATTGCAGTGTTGTGATTATACTAAATATAACTGATGCAAACATTTTTAAATGGTGAATTTTATAGTATGCAAATTATGTGTATGTGCATGCAGGTATGTGTGTGTGATTTAAAAGCAGACTGCATATGTGGGAACAGGGAGAGTATGTCTGCTGGGGGAGTGAGCTTGGGGTCCCCACCCTGCCTGACCAGACTTCAGAGCCTCTCCCTGGAATAGCTCCTAGCCTCTGTGCTTCCTTCTCCCACTTTCCCTTACCCCTCCTCCAGCTCTCCCCAGCAGCTTTTACCATGACTGTCTGGCCCACAGGGCCTGTCCACTCTGTCTGACTCACCGGAGCTTCTGGATGTTAGAGGAGACCCCTGAGAGGCGGTAGATCCCATCCACCACTCCATACTCTTGCACGAACTCTGCACAGCTCCTTAGCACCTGGGGCACTGGGGACACAGACGGGCAGAGAAAAGAAAATCTGAAAAGCTAGCGACTGTAAGGGGTCTGAGAGACGCAGCATCATGGAAGAGGGTTCACCAAGATTAAGGGCAAAGCTTGTGAAATAAAAAACTCGTTAGAAAGATTCTTACAGGTGATCAGACCCAACTCAACTATCATTGTATAATATTTTTATCCCATAGTCCTGAAGTCTCAGCATAAACCCCTGTACTAAAGGGGAATTCACTACTGCTTAATAGTAACCCTTTTAGTTCTATCTCTTTTTCAAGGATAAAGATTTTTTAAAAATTATGTGTATGTGTCTGCTCAAGGGAATTTGCATATAGTACTGGTGCCTGCAGAGGCCAGAGACAGCAGATATCCCTGTAGCTGGAATTATATGGGCTTGTGAGGTGGCTAACATGGATGCTGGGAACTGAATTCAGATCTCTGCAAGAGCAGCAAGTGCTTTTAAACACTGAGCCATCTCTTGAGCCCCAGCTCTGTAACAGGCTTTATTTTGGCCACCAACCAGCCTCCAAATCATGACACAGAGACTTAGTATTAGTTATGAATGCTCAGCCTTATCTTATGCTTGTCCCATTAGCTCTTATTACTAAATTTAATCCATTTCTCTTCATCTACATTTTGCCTCAGGGCTTTTTACCTTTCTTTCATTCTGTGTGTCTGGCTGTCTGGCGGGCAGCTACCTGTCTGGCTGGCCCTGGGTGTCTCCCTGTTTCTCTCCCTCATTCACTCTTCTTTCTCTCTTCCCTCTCCTTCCACTTATTCTCTCTGCCCACCAGCCATGCCTATCCCTCTACTGCCTAGCTATTGGCTGTTTAGCTTTTTATTAGGCCAATCAGGTGCCTTTAGGCAGTCAAGGTGAAACAGCAACACATCTTTACATCCTGGAACAAAGGCAGCATAAACAAATGTAACAGATATTTACATAGTTAAACAAATGCAGCGTAAACAAATATTAACACGCCTCTGCCTGGTTAAAGTAATGTTCCATAACACAGCTCTACCTCTGTTTGTTCATTTGTTTGCTTTGAGACAGGGCCTCATGGATCTTGGGCTGGCCTTCAGCTTGCCGTATACTTGAGGAAGACCTTGAGTTTCTGATCCTCCTGCCTCTACTTCCTGAGTACTGGGATTACAGGTGTGCCCATCACATTCAATTTATTTGTTTTTGAGAGTCTTACCTAACCCAGGATGACCTTGAATTTGCTGTGTAGTTGAAGGTGACTTTGAATTCCTGATCCTACTGCTTCGGCTTCCTGAATACTGAGATTATAAGCATGTGCCCCCATACTTGGTCTGTGTGATACTGGGATCAAACACAGGGCCAGCCTATGCATGCTAGGCAAGCACTCTGCCGACCAAGTTACATCCCCAGTTCCCTTTTTATGATATGTACTCAGTGTTATAGCTTATTATTTTAGATTTACACAGAAAATGATGGGCTATGGTTGTAGAATATCAAATAATTTACAATAACCTTACATTCTATTTTAACAGTTTATAGATATTTAACATCTTATATACAAATCCAGTTAACAAAAAACTTAAAAGTTAAAGATAAAAAAATTAAGGTAGGCATAGTGGCACACGCCTTTAATTTCAGCACTTGGGAGGCAGAGACAGGCTGATCTCTCTATGAGTCTGAAGTCAGCCTGGTCTACAAATCAAGTTCTAGAACAGCCAAGACTACACAGAGAAAACCTGCCTCAAATAAAAACAAAAACAAAAACAGATAAATCGTTAAGAAACACAAAAGATGGATTGGAGAGATGGCTCATAGGTTAAGAGAACTGACTGCTGTTCCAGAGGTCCTGAGTTCAATTCCCAGGAACCACATGATGACACACACCCATCTGTAATGAGATCTGGTGCCCAGAACACTATGTACATAATAAATAAATTAAAAAGAAAAAAGAAACACAAAAGAGCCATGCAATGGTGGCTCGTGACTTTAATCGCAACACTGGGGAGGCAGAGCCAGACTAATCTCTGTGAGTTCAAGGCCAACCTGGTTTACAAAATGAATTTCAGGAAAGTTAGGATTGTTACACAGACACACACACACACACACACACACACACACAATCTTGTCTTGAAACAAAGAAAGAAATACAAAAGAAAACCACCTCAATCTAACTTTAAATATCAGTATCTGTATTAGAAAACACAAATAAAATTATTAGACCAAATCACAACATAAAATAGAGAAATAAGATAAATGGTAACTGTTTTGTTTTGTTTTGTTTTTTAAGACAGAGTTTCTCTGCGTAGCCCTGGGCCTCCTGAGTGCTGAAATTAAGGCATGTGTCACCAATGCCTGACTAGACCAATGGCATCTCATTAATAGTCTTGTGTGTGTGCATGTGTGTGCGCGTGCATGTGCTTACGAGTGCAAAAGCATCCCAGGATCCCCGAGGGGCTAGAATTACAGGTGATTGTGAGCTGCCCAACATGAGTGCTGGGAACCAAACCCTGGCCTCGGCGAGAGCAGTTTGTGTTCTTAACTGCTGAGCCATCCCTCCTGCCCTGCATTCAGCTGTCAGTGCTGTGGTTACAGGAAAAACAGGTCCGCAGCTTTGGAACTGAAACTTCTCTTTGTCATCAGCTGTTGCCCCAGATTTTTTTTTCCCCAGACAGAGTTTTTCTGTGTAGCCCTATATGCCCTGGAACTTGCTCTGTAGACCAGTCTGGCCTTGCGTTCATAGAGATCCACCTGCCTCCTGCTCCCAAGAGCTGGGATTAAAGGTTTGTCCCACCACCCTGTGACATATCCCAGAATTTTTAGAAAGAACAGCAATTTTGTAGGGTAGACAAGGCAAAGTAAAAGACTGGCACCCAAATTGCATTTATGTAACACTCTGCCAGCCATGAACAAATGAACCCTGGTTATTCCGGCCGAAATGGAACGCAACTGAAGGGGTTTAGCTTCAGGCACTTTCTCTGGTAAGAAAACTTGCAGTTACTCAGTTTGGCATTGGAAAGTACCACACCTGATCACGTGGTCAGGCGTAAAAGGAGAGTACCGACTTCCACAAGTTGTCCTTTGACTTTCACATGCCCTTCATGGCACATGTGTGTCCACACAATATACAAACAAAATAATAAACCTTTTTTGAAAAATGCAAAAAAATATATTATCTCTCCTGACCTTGGGCCAATATTGTGCTATTAGACTAATCTCCTTAAAGATTATCGCGGTATTTCTCGTGTTATCTTGATAGAGTAGCAGTTGTGATAAAGTCTCAAAAACAAGTATTGAATCCCTAATAGAAAGCCATGCTAGCCGGGGCAGTGGTGGCGCACGCCTTTAATCCCAGCACTTGGGAGGCAGAGTCAGGCAGATCTCTGTGAGTTTGAGGCCAGCCTGGTCTACAAGAGCTAGTTCCAGGACAGGCTCCAAAGCTACAGAGGAACCCTGTCTCAAAAAACCAAGAAAAGAAAAAAGAAAAAAAGAAAAAGAAAGCAAGCCATGTAGCCAGGCGGTAGTGACCCGTGTCTTTGACCCCAGCACTCAGGAGGCAGAGGCAGGCAGATCTCCCTTAGTTCGAGGTCAGCCTGGTCTACAGAGCAAGTTGCAGGACAGCCAAGGCTACATCAAGAAACCATGCCTCAAAAATAAAAAGGAAAAGAGAAAGCCATGCAGACAAAGATAGCTGTGAATGCAACCTAACTCAAACCTACAAACTACGCCCCCTTCCACACTTTAATCCTAGGCTACAGAAACACCCAGCCTACCCTACCCGAGTACCCAGTGTTTATCTTAAAGACACAGAATAAAATATGAGCTCCTCAGCCTGGGATAGAAGACCTTCACAAACCAGGTCCTGACAAACTCTATGACTGAGCCCTTTGCTAATCCATAAGCAAGCCTGGGTACCATTCTTCAGTGATGTGCTTTTTCTCTCAAAGGTTTGTGTGCTGGAAGCATCTCAGAGTGGTGGTGTTGAGATGGGAAACAGTCAAGAAAATGAGATCTAGTGAGTGATAATCAAGTCATTGGACTCTCTCCTCATGAAAGAATTATTACTGTCTCTTGAATTTTGTGGGGGGTTTGCCTGGTATTTTGTGTTTGTTTTTTGAGGCAGGGTTTCTCTGTGTGTAACAGCCCTAGCTGTTTGAAACTAGCTTTGTAGACCAGGTTGGCCTCAAGCTCACAAAGATCCACCTGCCTCTGCCTCCCAAGTGTTGGGATTAAAGGCATGCACCACCATTATCCCCTGGCCTGGCTTTTTTTTTAAATGTGTGTATAATCTTGTTTGAGAGATGGTCTTTATTACTGGCTCAGACAGGCCTTTGAAGATGCTCCTATACCTTTCAAGTACTGGGATTAAAAAAGTGTGCCACCAAGGTTTACAATGCTACCTCTTTGGGCGGGAGTGGGTCTTTCATGACTGGATCAGAAAGTGGGGTATCAAAAGCAATGCCACTCCATGCTCCTGGTCCTTCTGTATGCAGACAGTTTTCTTTCCACCTCACCATATTGTGACATACCCAGGCGTCCCTTGCCAGGATGCTAGCATAAGCTTTCTGAAAACCTCAGCCACTGTAGTCATGAGCAAAAGCAACTTCTCCATAATTTCTCCATTTGAGCCGTTTTGCTGGAGCAACCCAGAACTGATGAAGGCACTTGTTTTCTTCTCCTGTCTGGGAATATACCTTCCCCTCCAACTGCCTGGTAAACTGTTACTCAAAACATCTCAAGCATAGCCTCCTAGCTGGGCAGAGTAGCACATGCTTCTAGTCCTAGCTCCTTGGGAGGCTGAGGCAGGAGAATCACTGTAGCCCAGGAATTCAGAGCCAACATACAACATAATGAGATCATCTTAAAACAAACAAACAAACAAACAAAAAACCTTAACTAAACTAAATGAACTAAACAAGGGCTGGAGAGGTGGTTCAGCAATTAAGAGTGTTTGCCTGGAAAGCAAGAGTTCTGGAATTCAGGTCCCCAGAATCCATGTGAATTCATGTAAATGGGTTGCAATTCTGTCCTCACAAAGTGGAGACAGGAGATGCCCCAGAGCAATCAGGCTGGTGATACAGCCATATCAGCAAACTGTGGGCTTGTCTGAGAGATGCTGCCAAAAATAATGTGCTGGAGAGTGATGGAGAATGAGCCCGGATATTAACCTCAAATAGCCACACACATGTATCCACACACACAAGAATAAGATAAAAACAAATTTAAAAAATCACTTGATTCTGAACCCTTTGTATGTATATGTGTATATATGTATATATGTATGTACATATATGTGTGTGTGTATGTATACATATGTATATATATTACAGTCCTTTACTCATCTCAATTTTTTATTTAATATTTATTTATTTATTATGTATACAATATTCTGTCTGTGTGTATGCCTGCAGGCCAGAAGAGGGCACCAGACCTCATCACAGATGGTTGTGAGCCACCATGTAGTTGCTTCCATTTTTTTTTGTATCTATATATGTGAGCATCTTGTACATGCACCTCATGTATGCAGGTACCTGAGGATTCCAGAAGAGGGCGTCAGATTAGGGTGGAACTGGAGTTACAGGCGGTTGTGAACTATGCTATGTGGACGCTGAGAACTAATCCCAAGTCCTCTGCAAGAGCAGCAAATGCTCTTAACTACTGAGCCATCTTTCCAGCCTCCAATCTTACAGTACTTACTACACTTCATTTTAAGTGGTTGTATCTATACCTCCTGACCAAATGGTACTCTCTCGTCAGAGAATCATATCTCTCACTGTGGTGGAACATGAGGTATTCAAATGTTTGTTAGATTACATAATGAATTAATTCAGAATTACGTCTGAATCACTGAAGTCCCTTAGAGATTTGACAAAGAACATTGCCTTTCACAGAGCACTGAGTCCTGTTGACTGGAAGTCACCAGAGAAGTTCCTTGCATTTATCAGTGTCGGGGAAAGTTGTGTTTCTTCTCAGCTACCTAAATTTTTGTTCCCTAAAAGGCTTGTGAGTTTCATATGACTTTAACTAAGGCCCACCCCTAGCAGCCACATAGAACTATCTGACGTGCATCTCTGGGTCCTACTCTTCTTAATTTCCATTCAATTCAGTTCCTCAGTCATTTATTTGCTTGTTGTGTTGCCTCTCAGGAGTCAACCCAAGCTTTTTGTTTGAAGTTTGTTTGTTTCATTTTTCGAGATGGGGTTTCTTTGTTTAACAGTCCTGACCGTCCTGGAACTCACTTTGTGGACCAGGCTAACCTCAAATGCACAGAGAGCCAGCTGTCTTCCCAAGGTTTTTGTGGAACAAATATGACAGAAAACCAAGGCGAAGGGTGTAGATAATAATCCCACCGATCACTGGTTTTCATCTTTCTTCCTGTGACATGCTTTTCAGATCCTTTGTCTTTTTGCTCATACCCGGAACTTGGGTAAAACAAGAAAAGCATGGAGGATTAAAAAAAAATTTAAGGAAGTCTTTGCTTTCAGGGTTGTGCGCGTATTAATCCTTAGAATGAGGGACCTGGGACATTTGCACAATGTCTCTGGAGTAAGTGGTTCCTAAAATTTGGGCTCTTGTCACCTTCCTCACCTCACTCCAGCCTAGCCACTGTTCATGCCTTCGGGTCCTGCTCTCGCTTTTCCGTGGTCCCCTGTCCTTAGTTCTCGGCACTAAACGAAGAGATGAGGCTGCCCTGCTTGTTGAAGCTGCTGCTCTGCCGTTGGGTGCCAAATGCTGCATCCATTCTTTTAGCCACCATATTGCTCTACTGACCCACAAATAGGCTGCCGGCTGGGTCCAGTTAGTGCACACTTGTAATCCCAGCTGCATAGAGAGACTGCACCTCAGACATCAATCTCCCTCTCTCCTCTAAATTCCTAGGTTTCATCTAAACCAGGTTTTCCTGCCCTATTCTTCTCAGTTGATTTTGAACCTCTGGAGTAGGTCTTTACAGAGATGGAAGGTCTTAAGGAGCCTGAGTCATAAAGGAAATGGGTCTAAAGATAACAGGGTCAGAGAGTTGGTGGAGCTGCAGATAGACATCAGAGAAATGAAGTCAGAGACAAGACGATGGAATCTAGAGACAAGATCGAGGTGATGGAGTCAACATGATGCGGAGGGTGTGGGTGGAGTCAAAGAAGCACCGACAGTGAATCAGAAACACAAGCAAGTTATCAGAGTGTGTGTAGGGCTCAGGGACAGGGAAAGATCCATTTAGGGGAGAAGAGTTAGGGAAGAGGTCTAAAGTCAAGCAAGGGTGTAAGAGTAGAGAAAACTAAGATGACCGGGGAGAATCATACACCAGAAGCAGATGGATATCACCTACCGGGACCTTCAATGTCTTGCTGGATCTTGAGCTAAAGAGAGAAGCTGCGGCCGGGCGGTGGTAGCCTTTAATCCCAGCACTTGGGAGGCAAAGGCAGGCGGATCTCTGTGAGTTCGAGACCAGCCTGGTCTACAAGAGCTAGTTCCAGGACAGGCTCCAAAACCACAGAGAAACCCTGTCTCGAAAAACCGAGAGAGAGAGAGAGAGAGAGAGAGAGAGAGAGAGAGAGAGAGAGAGAGAGAGAAGCTGCAATCAACCAGCCTCACTCTTCCCTAACACTTTCCACCTCTCTGTACCAGGATATTCTGGATTAGGGGAGGGGTATCTCACTGATACCCGAGATACCCAAGAGTCATCTCTCAAGCCTGAAGCGCAGGTGAAGTTCTGGTAAGGGACAGAAGTAATTCCTCACCTGCTCTGAATTCACCTGCAACCAGGAGCCGTTGGCCTTTCATTATCCCTGGATCTCTAGAAAGGAACCTTTCACCAGCTGGGAATGGTGGCCCTAAGAGTCCCAGAAGGGGAGTCTGGGCTGTCTGTGGGGGATGGGAACCACTGGGAAGGGCTGAACCAGGATAAGGAGGCTGAACTGAGGGTTTACCAGGAACTACAAGAACATCATCCCCAATGAAGTCCAATAAAGATGTATGGCTCTCTGTCAGGAATCGTTATCTAGTGCTGGCTAGGCGGCTCCTCAGCTAAGAGAATTGACTGTTCTTCAGAGCACCCTTGGCAGCTACCGATGGGAACTCCAGTTCCAATGAGAATCTGATGCCCTCTTCTGGCCTCCATAGGCACTGCACACTTGTGAAACATACACCCACAGACAAAACTCATGCCTATAAATTTTTTTTAAAAATCTCAAAATTAAAAAGAAAATCCTTTAGTGCCGGTGAGATGGCTCAGGAGGTAAAAGATACCTGCCACCAAGCCCGAAAACCTCAGTTCAACACTGAGACCCACATGATGGGAAGAGAGAACTGGCTTCCAAAAGTTGCTGTCTGACTTCCACATATGCACCATGGTACATGTGGACACACACACATACACACACTGATACTAATACTACCAATAAATATAGCCTGCCAGTCAGTGGTGGTGCACACCTTTAATCTTAACCCCCAGCACTCGGAAGGCAGAGGCAGTCGTATCTCTCTGAGTTTGAGGCCAGCCTGTACCTGAACAAGTTCCTGAACAGCCAGGGCTACACAGAGAAACCCTGTCTTGAAAAACAACAACAACAACAAAATACAACCTGTGAGGTGGTACAGTGGATGGAAGTACTTGCCACCAAGCCTGATGACTTATGTTTGATGTCTGGGACCCACATGATGGAAGGAGAAAACTGGTTCCCTCAGGTTGTCCTCTGACCTCCATACCTGCAGGGGAACCAATTTGCCCCTTTCCAACATGCATACAAAATATATAAGTAAACGGTGTGATACTTTTTTGTAAAAGAATCATTATGGCCAGTGTAATAATAGTAAAGGAGCCAGGTGTGCTCAGAGAGAAGAGGAAGGCACAGAAAAGTCCACCTCGGCTGTAAACACTCTTTCTTGGGGCCTGGACTTTCCCTTAATGGAGGCTGGTAGGGATGGGGCCCTCTGATGGAGGAGAAAAGGGGAAGGAGGTGTCTGGGGACACAAGGGCGGGGCTAAGAGCAGGAAATGAGCTGGGAACCACCATCGCCCTCCCTTCTCTGCAGGCACCACAACCAGAGAAGGGGACAAAGAGGAAATGACAGATTGGGGTGGGGTGGAGTGGGGGGGGCAGAATCATGCCCTTTTTTGTAAGTCGCTCAGTGTGCTGAAAACAAGCTGGCCAGTATAGTCAAGATAGCTCAATTTCAAATCAAATAAGACGTGGTTCTGAGCGCGTGCTAGGCAGAGCACTGAGCCAGGGCTTGTCCCTGGGTAGGCTGGCTTTCCAAGGCCACTGCGTAGTAAGCCAGGCAAGGAACCGAGGCAGCTCCAGACAGTGCCCACACCTATCTTTACTGCAGCTTCTACTCCCAGCTTCAAACCAGGGCTTAAAGCATCTCCTTCATTTTTCTGTGTTCCCTACACCAGCAGCTTCTCCCCTTGCCTTCTACTGCAAACCTGTTTCTTTTTTGCAAGCAATCTAAAGAAGACGGTCTCTCCTTCCCCCACACCCTCCCGCGGCCCAGCAAAGGTGCAGAAGGGCTAGGTCCTTGTCCCTTGGTGCTGTTCTCCAGCTAGGATGCCTCCCTCCACTCTCCCCAAGCTATGTCCTCAGACCCACTGGGCCCATTCCCACCTCCGTTTATTTTTCTATCAACCATCCCTTCAGCCACTCTCCTGACATAGGCCCTCCATTCCTACCCTCTGTCCCCCTCTCCGTCTCCTCACCTGATCCGTCGGCATCTCTAGATTTTATAAATATCACCATCCCCCACTTTGCGTCCCCTTGGAGTTCTTATCCTCACCCTCTCAGAGACCTGCCCCACAACTATTACAGAAGCGAACCTCTCTGCCACCTCTGAGCCGCATTTCCTGACTTTCCTGGGCGCAGGTCTCATGGATGGTGATCCTGGGCCACGGGGCCCTAGGAGTTGATTCTTCCCAACAGATCAAATCAAGCCAGAGAAGACAAGCTCGGTGCCTGCGTGCCAGTCCGCCCACCCGTTCCGCTGCCCCCTGCTCGGTTGGCCTCCTTACCGTCTTGTCCCGAGTGCTGTAGGTGTTCCTGTAAGTCGCACCCAAACACTCGTTCCTTGGAGCAGCCCTTCTTCTTTACTTTCTGCCGAGACTTCATGGCCAGAGCCCCCAGGATCTGGCCCCACCACTTCTGTTCCCCAAGACCTTTGACCTACCAGTCCCCCATGGAATCCCAGTCAGTAGTTGGGTTTGGCCCAGCCCTAGAGGGGCAGGGCTCCAAACTGGAGGTGGAGGGTGGCTTGGGCAACGGACAGCAGCACTTGCCTCTGGGGCCCACTCGGGGCCACACGGAAGTGGATGTGGAAGAGGAAGCTACCAGAACCCTGGCATGAAGCTGTATCTCGTGGCCAAGCTGAGCCCTGGCCCTTTCTCGCACTGTGAAGCTCTAGCGGGGCAGGAAGCTGTGCAGCTCCTCAAACCCGCTTCCTGTTAGAGCATCTTTGCAACCACAGGGCCTGCGGTGGGGGAGGTAGCTGACATTCACATCCTCATCATTGCTGGGACTTCGTCTATTGGTCACAAAGGGAGGTGATGTCAGGACGCTTGGGTGGAGTAATGGGGCCTGGGGTGTGAGCAGGTGGTTGGCATTTTCCAGAGACCCAAATTCGGGGAGTAAGGACCAGGCAGAATATACTCAGGATGGAGGATGCCTCTGGTGGCTTTGTCATCGTGGTCAAGCCACGTTTCTTCACTGAGCCTCGGCTGCCATACCTTTGAAAACGAGGACACAGACCAGCTGCCTTCTGAGTTTCAGTTTCTTTGTAGAAGACTACACGGCTGTCCACCCCACACAGCTGTTGGAAGTTTCCAGCACAGTCAAATTCGAAGCACTTTGCACACTAAGGCACTGGCTTCCCCTAAAGGAGGTCACGTCCACACTTTCCTACCTGAGGGCACTCAGAAATGGCTAAAAGGGTTTTGAAAGCTATTTGTTCCTTCTTGGCTGCAAGTACCTGGGTCCTCACCCTGCCCAGGAGCATAGGAAGGAAGACACTGAGATCGCACTTGTTACTTATCCAGGTCAAGGGGAAAGACAGGAATCAGACAGAAAAGATTTTATCTGTTTATTTAAAAACAGAATATCATTTTATGTACAAATATACATATATTTACATAAAATATACATACTAGGACCCCAGATCCTCGGAGTCCACAAGTCCATGGGAATGGGATGAAAGCCTCTCCGTTAGACCAGATTGCAGGCCAAACAAGGTTGGAATAGTAAATCTCAGTATTCTGGCTGAGTAGGTTTGGGCAGGCTAAAGAAAAACATCTAATCCCAGGCCCCGCACATAGAAATGCCAGAAGAGCCCCAAATTAATGACTCAGAAACCCTGGGGAAAGAGCTGTTGTCACCCTTGCCCACAGCAGCTCAAACCTCACCTGAACTTCTACCTTCCCTTGCTACCCTCTGCCCTCTACACAACTGAACCAGGGGCCCTTGACACCAAGTCCCAACTCTGTGAAGGTATGAACTGTGGACACAACTAGGGGAAGATTTGAAGGGCCATGGGAGCCAAGCACCCTATCTCTACCCTCTTCCCCCGTGTTTATACCTCACACCACTGGTTCCAGACTCCGCCAGCTGTCAGTTTCCTCCCCAGAGCCTCTTTGGGTGAAGATGCCCTAGGAGGAGAACTTTCCAGAACCATAAGAATTAGCTCTTGCCGTGGGGTCTGCTAAACAGTCTTGTTGATGCCTATGTGGGCTGGCCTTGCTTAAGCCCAGCAAGGAGCATGCACAGTAACAAAAAGGGTTTTGCTTGTTTGTTTGTTTTTTAAGTTTCTTTTTCTCTTATTAAGGGAGCCTGAGGGGACCCCTTGGAGGTTAATTTACAGACAGTAGGGTGTGTACGTGCAGCAGGCCCACAGGCCACCAGAGGGCAGAGGGCTTCTGTAACAGTTCAAGCCTCTGGCAGACCCCTGGACGCCTGCTTCACACTTGCCCCCCAAGGGTGGGAACACAGCTCCCCGACTTTGGAGGTCAGATTCTAGCTCCAGCTATGCCCGCACACCTGGATCTGGCCCACAGTCTCCACGTCTCCCTTCCAACCTCTGCATCACTAATACTGCTCTGGGGTCTGAGGATAATACCTGCGTCTGCAGGCAGAGGTCACACATGAGGCACGCTAGGCACGAGCCACACCCTAGCAATGTTCTACACACAGCCACAAATCCTGTGGCACACGTACCATTCGCTGGGACTCTTAACACGACAGCACAATGCATGCCACAGACACACACACGCGCGCACACACACACACACACACACACACGCACACAAATAGGAGACACTCAATCAGTGGAGCCCTCCCGATGACCAGGATTGGAGGTAAAAGTGGAGCAGTCAGTGGGGTGGGAAGTATCTTCCTAAAGAAATGCAGGCTTTTAAGGAGGGTTCCCCTAAGAAGAGTTGAAATCCCCCATGGAAGCAGAAGAAACCAGGCCTAGGGAGGGAGGCCGGCCTGGGTCAGACCAGGTGCCCTCGCCCGTTGATGTAGATGCCATTGCCTGTGGGTTTGGCCCTCAGGGTCCCATTCTCCTGAACAAAATGGTTCATGGCCTGTTTGATGCCTTCATCCTGATCCTCCTCCTCTTCTGTCCGCCCAGAGCCCGGAGACAGTAGTTCAGTCTGTGTTTCAATCTCTCTCACTGTGGTCAGCGTGGAGTAGCTACGGCCCTCTGGCTCTTCACTCTGGAGACCAAGGGCAGAGGAGAAGTCAGCAGTCGAGATCAAACAGGCAGACACAGTAGGGTAGGGATGGGTTGTGGTGGGGTCAGAGGTCAGGTAAAGCATGGGTAATGGCTGTCCCGGAGGCATGGGGCTTGGAAATTTGGGGGTGGGGAGGGCAAGAGCAGGTGTTATATATAGGGATGGGGAGACAGAGAACGAAGGCACAGCAGAAACGCGGGGCGGGGCTCACATGGGAGCCAGGGATGAGAGGCAGGGACTGGTAGAGGGGGCTGCTGTCACACCACATCTGGGGCCAGGAGAGTATTGGGGACACCGGTGGGGCCGGGGGCCTCACCATCACAGAGCAGCTACTGTTGTCCTTGAGACTATCGGGGTGGCCCTCCGCTCTCAGCCCTACACTCTCCTCCGGCTGCAGGAGCCCAGACATAGGGGAGGAGGAGTCAGAAGAGAGTCCAGCCTCCTCCCCTCAGGCTCTTCACCTCTCTCATCCTCTACCAGCCTCCTCCCTGATCACCTTTCCCCCAACCCGTAGTTCCCTGTCTCTCTGACACAAACATCCCCCTTCCCACACTCACTCCCCAAAACCCACCCTGGAACCAGCACTGGTGGTGGATTCCTAGAGCAGCCCCCAACCCAGTGCTGAAAGGGCCTTGCAAGGAGGAGTCCCAGCAGCCCCAAAGCATCTATCCCCGGCTAATATCCCAGCCTCGGCTCAGCTCCAGCTATGAGTAAGCAGCCAGACCCGGTATAGGGCTATGTTCCTATCTATAGAGGAGCCCAGACCCAAGCAAACCCGTGTGCCCACGCCCCACACATGCACCCATCCTTAGCACACACCTGGCTCCTAGGGTCTGTATGATGAGAATGCAGCCTTCGGATGGAGTTCTCCCTGGTCAGAGTCAGTTCCTCCTCACTGGGAAAGACACCCCCTTGTCAGGACCTGAGAGCAATGGCAGCCTCCTACGGCGAGTCTAGCCTGGCTGAGCCTGTATACAATGGCTGGAGGGTACTCTTGCCAAACTATGCCTGCACCAGAGTCTGTGGCTGCAGATGACAATGTGGCTGCAAAGCGTACCTGTGCCACATAGTGCTAAAGTACGCATAGTAGATGACACCTGGAGAGTATGGATCTGGGCTTCTCTCAGGCTTATGCCTCCTCATCCAGCTGTGGTCCAGGCCCCAGGCTTTCCTCACTTCCCCAAAGGCTTTGCCCATCTCTGGTGGACAAGTTGTCCAGTCATAGGCTACCCAGTGTCCTCTCTCCTCTGTTCTGGTTCACCTCCTACTTCATTGTCTTTGGTCTCAGCTCGGCTCCACCCACTCGGTGTAGCCAGTACTCACTATTTCTGGGTCATCTGCTGTGCTTTCCGTCGGTGATACCGGGACATGAGTACCACCACCACCACCAGGAGGCAGAACAGGAGTGCAGCAATCACGCCCACTACCACCACTGAGGCCGACACTAGGTCCACTTGCTTTCCTGAATCTTGAGGGTCTGCTGGAGACAGGCTGTGTCTGAGGTGCATGCCCAGATCCTTTCTGGATCTACCCTAGACCCCATTGCTACCCAAATATTATCCTCACAGAAGATATCCTCAGCTACCCACCCAGTTTAGCCCCATCTACCATCCCCAAAGACACTCCTTCCGATTTCTTTCTCTGTCTTGCTTCTTGTTGCCCATCCCCAGCTCCGATTCAACCTCCCTGTCTTTGTTCCCCGACCACTGTGCTTACCAAGAACCTCCACGGTGACCTGAGAGTCCCTCGAAGAAAGTTCATTGCTGACATGGCAGACGTAGATGCCACTGTGCTCAGTGGTCAGTGGGGGAAAGCCCAGAGTGTCCCCCTTCACTCGCACCCCGCTAGGCAGAGGTCCATCCAGCCTGAAGGACAGGGAAGCTGAAGGGTGCTGGCTGGGGCAGGCTAAGGCTGCCACCACCCAACGTGCCCAGGCAGCTATTCATCCCCCTCCCCCATGACGTCATCCAGAGCCTCAGGCTGTTCCCACGGTGCCCCTCCCTACCCTAGGCAGGTCTAGGCAGAGGCCCTTTCTCCCTGCCGCCCAGCCTGACCCGGGCACCCCCACACACACTTGGGGGAGATCCACACGCGTGCCATCCCACATGCTCCCACAGGCATCACGTCATCATCTAGCACCAGGTAACAGGAATACATGCTACAAAGTCCACACAACAGGACACTCCACTCCTAGCTGGCCTCAGAGGTACCTGGAAACTGTGATTGCATGCTCCAACACCTATGATAATACATGGCGGAGAAAACAAACCTAGCCCTAGGCACAAGGCCACATGTATCGTTCATATGTCCACATGTAAGAACATGTCTATCACAGGCTCACATACATGGGTATCCTACCCTTTTGTAATTCTCTGGAAGAAAAGACAAGGGCTCTTGAAGGAGCTGGTGGAAGGGGGTGGGTGTTTCTGGGGTGCTAGCAACATGATGGTTATAAGAAGCATTGGTATTAACAGCAGCTATAGCCAGCTGTCTTTTTGTCTCGTGCACTTTTAGCACTCAGAAATAGCTAAAAGATTCATATCTACCATAGTTTTAGTTCATAGTTTAAAGTTAAGGGGTTTTGAAAAGCCAAGAAGATATCTACATATTCCCTATGGGTAATCACACATTCCCTGGACCGCACCAGTAATATTTGCT